ATTACACGCCCGAAGGGGTACTTATTGTTGTTACTTTATATAGATATTTGTATAATGTTTGTATAATTTAATTGCAATAAATAAATAAATAAATATGAACTAAGAGGAAATATTTATAACTTTGTATGTATTGAAATAATTCAAAAATTACTGGGCCGATTTCAAAAATTCATTCACTATTAAAAAGGTATGTTAACGCTGAGTAACATAGCCTTTATTTATGGACGTGGACGAACTCGTGAGCATCGACTAGTTTAATAATCTGAATTTATAAAAATTTATATCCTATATTACTCAGTGATAACATAGGTTTTTAATGGTGTAAAAAATTTTGAAATCGGCCCAGTAGTTTTTGAGTTATTTCTATACAAAAATGCAAATCTTTCCTCTTTATAATATTAGTATAGTATATATTAATCTGTAGAAAGAGTTAGAAGCACTGCAGCGTGTGGACGCGACGTACATAGTGGCGGCGGACAGCGCCGAGTTCGATGCGTGGCGCGCGACCACTGAGAACACGTGTGGGCAGGTGGTGCCGGCCGCGGCGGCCAAACGGTTGGAAGCTAACCCCATACTGAAGGAACAGTATAACAAATTGGTGCCTGACGCGGTGACGCATAACGAGTTTTGGGAAAGGTATGTATGTTGTATCCCGGTGGTTCATAACTGCCGGGACCGCGGGCCTTATAGTCTTTCTCAAGACTGGGGCCACGAGGTGGGGGCTCTATAATCCCTGGCGGCACCAGCGGGCGAGGCTGGGTCTCCGAACCTGCATTGCACGGTGCCGTCTACCGAGGGGCGCCTTAGGGCGCAGCGTCCCAAGTTATTGGGACGCAACGAGGGCCCCTTCCCGGGGCGGTCAGTGGGGCGTCGCGGTGGCAAGCGCAAGCGATCCCATGGCGTCCCACACAATGGCCAGGAGGGAACGAAGGGGTTTAGTGAGGTATGCCCCCCACTATGGGGGGAGAGTCCCACATAACTCTCGTGTCTGCCCAGAGGCATGGAGTATGCAGAAAGCATTCCCCTTCGGAACAAAAAGGTATGTATGTTGGGCAGGTAAATTTGAAGATTTTTTAATATACATAGGGACAAATTTTTTTTTTTAATTTGTCCGTTATTTTTCATTATGATCTAAATTGTAGCATTTTTTTATCTTCAGTAATTTTATGCTAAAGTTTGTTGAAATTGCCGTAAAACACTACAAATACAATATTTTTTTATATACATAAGTGAAATATAATTAATCACAAATTCTTGAAAAAATAACAAACAAGTTATGTTTTTCTATTAATGTTTGACTAGTTTTTATTCTATATTCTAGATATTTATTCCGCGTGGCACTACTTCAAGACCGTTTGGCGGCCGCGTCCCGCAAACAGCCCATGGAGCCTCCCACTGCCGACCCTGTTTTGGCTAACTTACCTCTACAGACGCCCATACAACAGTAAGTTGATGGTACATAAAGTATAAAAATATACGCTTCGATTTTTTTTCAAATAAACATATTAAACGTAAATTTTGATTGTTTAAAAATCTAAAAATTATTGAAGCGTATTTGCTTATATTCCCTTCATTTTTCATTTAAACAAAAAAAAATAAAAAACTAGATTTTTTTTCGAAAAATTAATTTTGGACATCCTGTGTCTCGATAATTTTTTTTTTCAACATTTTTTTCCCCGACCTAATTTCGACACTTTCAATGCCATTAAGGTATTTTTATTCTGGTCTTTGACTGCAATAGAACTTGTATCTTCACATATTTACTCTTTCGTCAAATACAATATGAACAATATGTCAATAAAAATAGCACACTAGTACAATTACGAAAATATGGCATTGGACGTGTTAAATCAATTTACATAAAAATATTGTCGTCGTTCTCTAAATATCTGCTTTTTATGTTTCTTTTGCTTTGTGTATCGTATTAATCTCAAGGTAGCAAAAAAAACTACAAAAAAAAACACTTATAGTTTGTTTTAAGACAACTTAAAGTACTAAATAAAGAAGAAATCTCATTGCATAATTTCTCAAAGCATTTTTATTATTTTTTAATCCATTAAAATTGTATCATCCTGTACTTAGTTAATAACATCGAGTAAATATTTTTGTAATATCTTTTCGTTCAATATACGTTTTTTTAACTCATATAGTTTTTATTTTGTTACAAAAATATTAGATCCCTGTACCTTTTCCTATCCTAAAAAATTACTTCATTAAAATGAAAAAAACGTACCGTTTGCATATTAAGCCGAATGAAAAAAATGGCATTTTTCGACTCTTTTTTTCCGAAAATCCTTATGTCACCAAAAAATCGTAATATTTGAAATAGTGTTTATAAGGCAACCGTTTTTTTTATTTTTGGTCACTATAACCGGTTTTACTTTGTATAAAAAATTGTTAGCACATTGTAATATGCACTCACGTTTTTAAAAAATAGTGTTTTAACGGGACTTGAAGAGAAATTAAATTTTATTTAATTTTTCTTTACAGAAGTCCAAAGAAAGTACTCTCTGGTCTTGAAGAAATACCTTATGAAAAAGATGAAGATATCGTTCAATGGGAAGACGGTGAGTTTTATTATAAAAATCATTTTTTTATGTTTTTTATTTATTTTTTTAACATATCCAATGTAAAAAATGTTGTGGCATGCAAATTGCTAAGTTAATGATGTAAAAAAAAATATTAAAACAGTAATATAGTCGATATCGTCAAAATATACTTTTAAAAAACTTTATTTTTAATTTTTTTTTAAATTAGTGCTTAATTTTTTTTCCGTGAAAGAATTAATTTTTATTAATCCATACAAAATTATTTAGTACCATCTATTACAGAAGAATTCCCACATGACGTTGAACTAACAGAAGAACAACAGATCCTACTTCTAGAAGAATATGAAAAAGAAATCACACAGAAGAAGATAAACAGACGCTCGTCATCGAAAGATTTAATCAACAATAATTCTAATACACCACAAACATTAAAAGACGAATTAAATAATACCATAGACAAGAAAAAAAATGGCCGTTCACCAAAAAGACAGACAAAATCAGACGAATGTGGTAATAATTTAGTTGAAGATTATTTTGGTGACAAAGAAGTGAAAGACGACGCAAGCGCGAATTCAGATGAAAGTTGGGAAAAAGAATTTGAAATAGATGAACCTTTAGGACAGAAAGCCTGACAATCCGGACATATATTAATAAAAAAAATGTATACATGATATATGACATTCAAATACAGAACCTCGATAACTCAAACCTTGGTAAATTAAAAACCTCTATAACTTCAAAAAATAATATCGATCGGTGAAAGGTTATTTGTTTTAAGCGCCATTAGGTTAAATATTCAGGAGAGCCATTTTCATCTAAAAAAAAAAAATCCTCAAAATAATTCCAATTGAAAGATTTCCAGACCGGTTCTAGGTTGGAATTACTTAATTCTGCTTACTTCGTTATTTATTTCAGATTTAAAATTCGCTGATTATGAATATATACATATATGTAAGTCAATATCGTCCTAAATGGCGTTTGACACAAATAGCCTTTACCCGTCGATATGTTCCCTTCCCATCAGAGCCCAAAACCTCTATAACTTCAAATATTTTGTGTTTCCCTTGGACGTTAACTTATCGAGGTACTATTGTATAATCTTTACATTTGTGTCCTATAAAAATCCAAATGCTTGGTCAACCTAACGAAAAAATTTTCATACAACTGGACTCGAAAAGTCTTGAAATGCGTTAAAAATCTCAAATCTAACTGTATTTCTATTGATAAATTACCAATAAAAAATGTCGTCCTTTACATTTCTTTTGGAAAAATGGATAGCAATAATTTTTTTGAACATATAGTATAGTTGAATAACATAAATGAGAAAATAATATAATCACAGATTTATAAAAAAACAGACATGACTATTTAAACGCTGATATGTTCCACAAATAAATAAAAAAAATGACATTTTACTTAGTAACACATGTCAATATATCTTTTTTCCATTAAATTCGGCTATATTTTAATTGCTTACTATTACTAGTAAACTGTTTAACGATTTTTATTTTTAAGTTTGTGTTAAATTTGACAAGTTTAGATATATTTCATTGTTTTTAGATGTAGTTATAGAAATTATAGTAAGGTCAGCAAAAGTACATTTTTTTAATATAGTATTTTATATATTTTTACTTGATATCTGTATATATCTTATTTATTTACTGATAATATGAAATATATATGAGACTAAATTAAATAATGAGCCATATGTAGTTTTTGACGCCCCCATTTACATGCAAAATGATATTTATATATTAAAAATTACGGCCATTAAAGTTTGTTACATATATAAAAAATGTGCCTAAATGTAATGTAAGTTATATTGGACATTATCGTTTTTAAGCCAGTACCTGGTCCATTAAATTCCATATTTTTATATGTTTAAAATAAATAAGAAAATAACTAAGGTTCCGACCGAGTCTACCGTATCTAATAATTTTGGTCACCCTAACATTGAATTTGAGTATTATATTTTTTTAATTTCATATAAGAAATGCTAGTTACGTTTTTTTTTACAAGTTAGAAATGCAGTTGTGCAGAATTATTAAGTTTTATTATAAATTTTTCGGTTACTTTTTATTAAATTACTGTTGAAAAAAAATATTCCCTCTTAATAAAAAATGGCTTAATTACTGATGCAAATGTTGATTATATTTAGCAAAAATCTATATTGTAAAAAATATTAAACGGACATTAATTGAAAGCAATATATATAATAATATATACTTTGTGACTTTGGTATAGAAATTAAAAATGAAAATATGCAAAAAATATCAAAAAACTTGTTTATGTTTATAAAAATCGAATTTTCTAGTAAAATATTCTCAGTCATCATAAATATACATAAATAAAGGCCGGCAACGCATCTGTAGTTCCTCTAGTTGCGGAATTATGGACCCATGGGGGTCGTTGACCCCTTCGGTGTTCTCGCCGCTCGTTTGCCCCCTTTTATTATAAAAATAACTCAGATATGATTTCCTTTCTCTATATTGCATTTATAAACTTTCCAATAATTATAAGATCACTCTATGTACCTTTTGTTTTGTCTAAATATTGTAAATTCAAATTATTAATTAGTAGAAATTTTATTTCAAGACATGTTTTCATACTTTAGGTATAAATATAACATGCTTTTAATACTTCTACATTAATATGTTTTTGACGAAAATCTAATTGTAAACAATTTTCAATAATTATTTGTGTAAATTATTCATTAATTTTGTAAATCTGTATAAACTAACATGAAAACACTACTCGTGGACAATAACATGAGACTATTACACAGAGAATCGCTCTATGGTTACCAAAGAAATAATTTAAATATTTTACGTAAATCTTTAAAATATTTGGATCAGAACAATGGTTAATATCTCCCAAACAAGAATAAAATCAGCTTTTCCATACAAGAAAATGATGGGAAGGGGAATTACTTACGTTCCATTCCCTGCCTTATAACGGTAGACAACGCATCTGCAAATGTGGATGTATAGGCCGCTGCCTCTTCGCTATTTTGGCGAATTATGGTGACAGCTTGCTAGCTTTCTACTTTATATAATAAAGAAATCGTTTCTAATTCAATTACATTACGATGTAATTTTTTTTGTATACTACTGTGCCGTACAAGCGGGTTCGGGTCCAACCTACCCTTGAACTACGATTGCACCGGAGGGCATAATATTGTAAATGTAGGGGAAATGGTACTCACCAGCTCGATGAATTGCCTCACCTCCTGCAGGTGCTATGTCTTAGTCAGCGTTAATCGAGTTAAAGTCTGGTTCAGTCAAGGCTCAGCGATGCTGCCTGAAGATGTACCAGTATTTACAAAGACCAACCACTTTCAACTCTAATCCGCACACGTGTTTACGACCGACTCGCTTGGCTGCTCACTTCCGACCTTTCTATCACCCATCTCCGCAGGCCCCGCGCTCGTCCGTAGTGGAGAGGGTTTCTTCATCTACCCGCCCGTGCGGAAGAAATAAAATAAGCGTGCTTACCCGCACTAAACGCGAGTCGCGAAATTTAAATTATGTTCGCCACCGAATGTGGCGAACCCGTGCTATCTGTACCGAATAACTACATTCTGACGTTATTAATTCAAGTGCGATGTTATTGTGCACGGGTAGTACAATAATATAAAAGTGTGATATCCAATTATATTAAAGTTTGTTCAGTAAATATTAGGATATAGATTTAAGTAACATATAAAGTTATAGTTGGCTTAAGTTATCGACTTAATGTTGAAGTTAAAAAAGATAAATTTTTCGCTTTACAATGCAATTTATTTTATTAAAATTGTTAGTACCGTGCTATAAGTATTGGTGTTTTTTAGTTGTAAGTCACTTAATATGCGTACTTTTTGGGTTTTTATTTTTTTGAATCCTTCGGGTTTAACACTTTTGTACGCGATTGTACTTTTACATTTTTTCTTTTTAGAAAATGATTTAGTTTTACATTCTTCAACTCGGATGTATTGAATTGACATCGATTTTGTTGTTTTTTTTTTTGTAAATTATGTTTATTAAGAATATGCATTAAAGTTTATAAAAATTGAATACTTTGTTGTTTTATTTACAATAGTAACGCTTTTCAATTGTTTTTATAAACTAAAAATAAAAAATAACCTACAAAATATACCTAAAGTAAGTAAAAACGAAGGTAGAAAATATTTATAAACACGCTGCTTTTTAAAATCTAGGAAAAACCTAAAACATTTTGTCTTACAAAATATAGTTTCTTGTAAAAGAGTAAATTTTATTTACACATTTCATTAACTGAAAATGTTTATTGTACATATTGTGTGCCGCCTTATAAACGTAAATTTTGTTTAGAAAAGATTTTTATAATTACCATTTAGACTATAGGGTTCAACGCTTTTAAATTCAATTGACTTCTATTAGTATGGACTAATATTTCACACATTCCCTTAGATCAGTGATTCCTAAAGTGGTCTATATCGACCCCCAGGGGTCTATGTCAGCGAAAAAAAATTGGGGGTCCATGGAACACAATAGTGGATCTCAACACATACATCGATAGCACCTATCATCTTCCACCATACTATCTTGTCATATCAAAACATATACATTATTTATTTTGAGTACTTTTAATTTATATTCAATTAATAAATGTATATATTAACACATATTTTAACTTTAAGTTTTTAACACTAAACTTAACTACAGTTAGAAATTTACAGGAAATGAATATGAGGTAAGCAGGGGGTCTACCCAACACGGAAAAGCATGGCAAGGGGTCTACGACACAAAAAAGATTGAGGAACACTGCCTTAGATGGAGACTTACATATTGAATAAAAAGACCTATTTTAAAAATATATTTATTATACGGGTATGTTATTGGCTGGTATATGCTGTAGATGGGGGTAGTATGAGCCAGCGAGGCCCTGCGGCATTTCCGCGGGCGCGTCATCCGACTGCGGGTAGGGGTGATGCGGCGGAGCACCCATCCATTGTGGATACCAATACAGACCCTAGAAATTAATATTAAACATACTGCCATTAAAATTATGTCATCACCATCACCAGCTCAATATACGTCTACGAGGAGCCTACCCTAAGTTAGGGGTGACATGTACCGAATATCTAGTTTCCACCCCTTCAAATATCCCTAGAAATTAAAAAAAAAACTGCCAATCGCATCTCGATAGATCGAAAGCTTAACTAGTAATATCTCCCGAAACCATCAGAATTAGGCGATTTGAATTGTTTTTATTATAAGAATACTAGTTTTCGCCCGCGACTCCTTTCCCGTGAAATTAAAAAAAAATGATTAGCCTATGTGTTTTTCCAGACTATACTCTACATCCATACCAAATTTCGTCGAAAACCGTTCAGTCGTTTAGGCTACAGACTCTAACATCCATCCATTCATCCATCTAAACTTTCGCATTTATAATATTAGTATGAAGTATGATTAGGGTATTTATGTTAATTTGCTAAATTTTTGTTTTACTTTCCGTCCCGTACCCTTAACCGTTAGGTTGTTGACGCTTCAATTAAAATTACAATAGGATCATTAACTAATTTAAAAGCTACTAGATGTATAAAATGCGTGGAACTTATACATTGCTAGCTCCAGGGGGGCATAAGCCGCTAAAGGGGGGTTTAACCTTACCTTATTAGTTCCAGCACCTTGACACGTGTAGCGGTATTCATTTATAGACAGCGGGTCGAGATAACTGATACCGGCGATGGAGCCATAGTTAGGAGGAAACATGAACCAACAGCCATCCAATGTGTCTAAAATAAATCTTTGTTTAACACTTTTAATTCCTATAACGCTCTGCGACTAATTAGTCGCGTGCGATTACGTCTGTGCATAATTATAAAAGATTATAAGTCTTCCACACTATGCATGCTTTTTATCGAGTTCTGTTGAGCCGTTCTCAAAATACGCAGTAACAAATGTTTGATCCTGAATGTCCATCCAACTTAACTTTTGCATTTATATTGTTAGTAAATTGTAGCGTTTAACGTGTTAACAGACAACCAGATACAATTGCAAAAATATGTTTATATGTCTATTATTAAATTACCGTTATTTTAAAAACAATGTTAGGTCAAAAACACAGATAAGTTGATGACACCAACAGTTATCTATACTTCTAAGATATGGCTTTTTAGATGTATGAAATAATGACATAACTCAAAAACTACTGAAAAATTTTCTTACCATAAAAAGCAACATTATCTTTGTGTAACATGGGCTATATTTTTAAATTAAACGTCGACGATATCGCGAAAAATATTTAAATGGACTAAATCGCGAGCAACGGCTTAGTTTAGACAGTAGAAACATACTGTAATAAACATTAAAAACGTATAACTTACAGGTTATATTTGGATTGAATTCATTAGGCGTTGTGGTTGTATGTTGGAAGGTTTCCGTCGTTTGCTCGATGAATGGCGGGATAGGAGATAGACCGGTGCCTGGATCTCCAGGGATTATGAATGGTCCTGAAATTCCCAAAAATACTGGATATCTATACTACTATAATTAAAAATAAGGTTAATTGTATGATGAATTAGTGTAAAATATTACAATTTTATTGTTTCCTTAATAAATTAAACAAATAATATTTTATAATAATATACCTCCATAAAAGTTAGTATTATTCCACTCGCAGACATGATGGTCACAGACTAACGGAGAAAACTTCTCTTTAGTGTAATAAGTATGGCCGTTTGGCATTATCTGTAATTATTATAATTTAAAATGCTATAAAACCATAAAAATAGTCTCATTAATTAATTTACATAAAGCTCAATTTCCACTAACTAATTTACCGCGCGATTCCGACTGCGTCTTGCCACATTCTGTATAAAATCGAGTGATATTTTCACTAGGACGTATTACTAAACGGCAGAACACAACCATACTCGCACGGCAAAATACTAAGTGGAAATTGCTTAGTAGTCGCCAGGCGATAATCTAGATTTAGGGCGACGTTCTTGAAAAAAAAAACAATTAAATTAGGTTATTTACCAGCAAATAATCGTAGTGACGGAACCGTATCCCCTGTATATTGAAATCGAGTATGAAGGAACCAGAAGTGATGACGCATGAAGCGGCGGTGAGTGGGGGAAGCTTGTACATATCAGTGCCGCATTTCACTATCGCCTTCGGTAGCATGGAAACGTCTCGCACGTGTTGTAGGTTCTTTTTAAATGGAAATCTGAAAAGGGTAGTTGTTTATTAATGAACGATGCTATTCTACGAGTGATTTGTTTTTTGCGATTTGTTCTTAGACTTTCAAAGAGCTTTTTTCATTACATTCTTATTATCAAGCCTATTCGTAAGTTGGATATTGCTAATAAATATAAACAATTACTAGTTGTAGGTACTTTTATTCCTAACTAGCTTTCGCATGTGACTCCGTCCGCGTGGAATTAAAAAAAAAGTTACTTTGTGATCTACCCGACTATGCTCTAGATCAAAGTCGTTTAGGCTATAAACTCTAATAATCATCCATCCATCCATCTAAACTTTCGCATTTATAATATTAGTAAGATAGGGGTCTAAAAAAGCAACACTCACCTAAAAATACACATACCCAAGTGACATTCCAAACCGTGAATGTAATTATCCATTTGGAACACGATATTCGGGTCTTCTTCTAAGAAATATCTGTTTTCATCCATATAGTGAACGAAGCCTAGGAAATGGAAGCCCCTACTCTTACAGTATGGCGCGGGACCTCGGCCCATGTTGTAAATGTCACTGTATAATTCCGATACGAACAGATAGACGTTTTTACCGCAATAGAACTCTGAAAAAAGGCACCATAAACTTTGTTAGCTTATTGGCTACTTAAAAAATTTCTTCGAATTCAAGGAAACCATTAGTAATAACCCACTGCAATATAACCTTTACCATTGTAAAAAAATTGCTAATTTTAGTGGTAAAAAATAACTGAAACGGTTAACCGTTTTTTTTTGTGTTTTATTTTTGTATTTTTTGGCCAATAAATAGTGTTTTATTTTAAATAAGAATGCAAACTCACAATTAAAATTTACATCCAAGTCTAGGGCCAAGGGCCTAGTGTGGGTTTAACGACTCTAGTACGGAAATTATTAGTTCTTTGGTATATGTTACCTTGACTCAGATAAAATTCGGTAGGCACCGCACCGCCGGATCCCGTGTTATAAGTAGCCACCCTCTCTGATTTAATAGCGTTATGGTTATCATACATTGTCAACATATTGTCTATCGCGTCTTCGAGAGCTATCAGCAATACCTAGACATTAAACTTGTGTATTAATAGACTGGACACGAACCTATTTTACAAGTTAACAAGGAAATCTAGTGTCTATGATATATTTACCTTTAATTCTTTTATATGTAGAGTTATAAATCTGCCTAAATGATCAGTGGCGATGTGGACATATTCATTGATGAAATACTGTGAAAAAAAAAGCATTAAAATACTGTCAACTAAGACTACCATAAATAAAAAATAAAGAATAAATTGTTTGAAAGAGAATAGATTGAGTAGAAAGTACATATTGTGCCGATCGAAGTTTAAAATAATAGACTAACGATGTCCAAATTAAACAAACAAACAAAGAAACTACTAGAAACAAACGAAGATCTAAATTTTCAAAAGGGGATAAAGTTTATGGTTCACAAGTCAAAGAAGAGATATAAAACAGAAGAGAGGGTTTGTTTATACTAATTACATATTTAAAGGCGACTAGAAGTTACGTAATTGACTGACCTGATCACGTGCGCGTTTGATCTTCATCATTTCTATCTGGTAGTGGACGAGGAAGTCCAGCTTATCTGTGGGATCGTGGCCGTAGATCTCATAAGCGTCTATTATCATCCCCAGAGTGAGGTTCTCACTCGGCTCTTGACAACATGGATGATTCCTTACATTGTATGCGTACTAGAACAACATTTAAACTGATTTACTTCTTACTAATATTATAAATGCGAAAGTTTATTGTATGTTAGAATTCACAGCTTAAACGAAATAAACGGATCTGGATGAAATTTGGTAGAGATGTAAAACATAGTCTATGTGTTCATAGACTATGTTCTATATTCATCATACTAATTATTATTTTTTTTTATAACATAAGATGGCAAACGGGCAAGCGGCCACCTGAATACGCCAAAATGGCGAGGCGACCGCTGCCCATAGACATCCGCAATTGTAGATGCGTTGCCTACCCTTATACAACAGAGGAGGAGACACACATGAAGAGAATGTCTCCCCTTCCTATTTATCTCCTCCTCCGTCAAATCCACTTCCCCTTATCATCCTCTCCTTATGAGAAAAGGGTGGTAAAGAGAAAGGGACTTAAATTAGGCCTCCGGCACACTTATCAGACGAAACACGCAATTGCTTCCATTTCACGCCTGTCTTCTGTGCGGTCGTGGTATTACACCAGGCGTGCCGGCCCTGCGGTGCTAAGATGTTAAAGCGGGCACTACCACTATCAGTTTTGTTTTTAAATCTATGCGGACGAAGTCAACGGATGAAATCTAGTTAGTTAAACAATTAGTTTTTTCTTATTTCACTAGTCTTATAACAAAAAAAATTCTTACCGATTTGTAAAACATATGTATAAATAAAAAACTTAAAATCCAAACGTTACGCACAACCATGATCGGCAACACAGGAAATACATAAACATAGGAAATAACAAAAATGTTAACGATCAATTAGTTATAACGAAAAATATCTTAATTGGATATAAGAGCACAAAGCAATATTAAAAAATCAATTTATCGTCAACTACAAACTTGATAAACACAAATATTTTGATAATAAATGACATTTAAGTTAGGATAATTCTTCTACAACCCCTCTCCTCCCTACCCCCTAAAATACCCAAGATGGGCTACTTTTTGTAGCTAGTTAGTAGAGGTTAATATATGTATTCTAGCATTCGCTCGGGACTTAGAAAAAAAACAAAAGCAAGTTGCCTATGTGTTCTTCGAGACTATCCTGTACATCTACAAACTTTAACAAACATCCATCCATCTTAACTTATGCATTTACAATATTAATGGGATAATAAGAATGTTGAAATTATAAGCAATAACACACATATAAAAAATGTAGCAAATGCATTTTAATCGACAAAACCCATTCATCTAACAGAAAGGCATACACTTTGATCTTTAATTATAGTAACGTAATACTGACAACGTAACAACAAATAACCTATATACGGCTATTACAGGTCAAGTTATTGTGCCAAGATTCGTTCCGCCCTATCGATCCATATTCCGCGCAGATTTTCAGCGCAGACCTTAGGGGTCCTCCCACAAAACCGATTCACACAGAGCGTCTCTTAAGAGAAAAGCCATTTTAAAATGGCTAAAATCCAATAATACTTAGAAAAACGCCAGAAAGTGGCATCAGTGCAATAAAATCCAAGAATCGGAAACCATTAAACTCAAAATGGCTGTTATTGAAAAGCTAATTTAGTATGTAAAAGTAATTTTAATCGTGATAGTGTAAAGAAGTCTTCCAAATTAGATTTTAAAATTATAATTAATGTAGTATAAAGTGTTATTTATATCGACGTCTTCCAGAAAGTCAATTTTAAAAATAAATAAACGCAAATTATAGTAAAAGTAAATCGCGGTTGTAAGTAGCAAAGATGATGAACTTAGGCCGTATAAAGATGCCTCCATTGAAAAACGTCCTAGACGTGGCGATGCAGACAGTAAGACAGCAGATACCAGACAAGCCAGGACAATCATCGCGACCCCCGCAGAATGTGAGATTCGCAAACCTTGGTAAGTGAATAAAATTGGAATCAAAATCTTCCAAATCTTGATTTCTAAAATAAACCATCTGAAAATAGACGCCAATGAACCTGAATGAAATATTTTCCAACTATAATCTCGAACTTTCTTAAACCTTTTATTGAAAACGCAAAATCCTTGTCTGTCAATGATAGAATTTTTAATGAAATTATTTAACTCCTTTCTTTATTGCATAATTCATAAAGTAGTTCCATTCTATTTCTTTACTATATACAAAAACATTAAATCATAACCCACTTTTGGGTATTTTAAAACTGAAAGAGAAAGGTCGTCACCCAATAAACCATTATCTTAAGGCGTAACGGATTATAGCTATTGATTTTTTACAAACACAGACATGGGTGAGAGCTGCGAGCTATCGACTATGAACGAGACCACATCCCCAACGTACCAGTCTACGAACCCCACCAACCCTTTCCTCAGCGGGGAGTTGCAAGCCGAGGATTCCTTCACCAGCTATCAAAACACTTATCCACAACAAGATGGTGCACCAAGGTAATTACTTCTCTTACTTTCTTACCAAGCAATGAAATTGAAGATGTAACCACAGTTACGTGTGATCGTGTGACGTTTAATATTAAGAAACAATACCCTTCAATTACAATTTAATTTACAATAAGTATAAATTGTAAAGTGAAAGCAAAATTATACTGATTTTGTATCTGCTTTTTCCAGGACTCAAAGCATGCAAAGCGTAGATTTCTATGCGTCTTCCGAAGAAGGGGGTTTCGAAGAGGGCGGTGGCAAACCAGGTGCGAAGATCAACGAATATCAAGCGGCCTGGAATGTTACTAACGCTATTCAAGTAAGTTAACTTACATAAAACTTAATAGATTGATTTTTAATATTTCCGTAATCGTGATGACTACCAACAGTTTAAACAAACCTGATTGTTCTTTTGTTTGTTTTACACAGGGCATGTTTGTGGTGTCACTGCCTTTCGCTGTACTCCAAGGGGGCTACTGGGCCATTGCTGCTATGATCGGTATCGCACACATCTGCTGTTACACCGGGAAGATCTTAGTCGAATGCCTCTACGAAGACGATCCTGTATCCGGGCAACGCGTTAGAGTCCGGGATTCCTACGTCTCGATCGCTAAAGAGTGTTTCGGTAGGAAATATGGCGCAAGAGTTGTTAATATAGCTCAAATTATTGAACTTCTCATGACTTGTATCCTTTACGTTGTTGTGTGTGGTGATTTGATGATTGGGACTTTCCCTGATGGTTCTATTGATACACGTTCTTGGATGATGTTAACAGGGATATTTCTTCTTCCTCTGGCCTTTTTAAAATCCTTGAAAAGCGTCAGCATGCTATCATTCTGGTGTACCATGAGCCATTTAATTATAAACGCGATTGTACTCGGGTACTGCATCCTTAATATTGGCGACTGGGGCTGGTCGAAAGTCAAATGGAATTTGGATTTCGAGAATTTTCCAATCAGTCTGGGTGTTATCGTATTCTCGTACACTTCTCAAATCTTCTTACCTACGTTAGAAGGTAACTTGGAGGATCGTTCTAAATTTGAATGGATGCTTAATTGGTCGCACATCGCAGCAGCCGCTTTCAAATCGATCTTCGGATATTTATGCTTTTTGACTTTCCAAAACGATACCCAACAAGTGATAACGAACAATCTTCGTTCTGCAGGTTTCAAAGGACTTGTGAACTTCTTTCTTGTTATAAAAGCCGTGCTTAGTTACCCTTTACCTTACTACGCTGCCTGTGATTTGCTGGAACGTGCTCTGTTTCGTGGTAAACCTAAAACGCTGTTTCCTACGATTTACGCTCTGGATGGTGAGTTGAAAGTTTGGGGTCTAGCTTGGCGATTGGGAGTTATAATATTTACTGTTTTGATGGCGATTTTTATTCCACATTTCGCGATATTGATGGGTTTCATCGGTAGCTTTACTGGTACCATGCTGAGTTTCATATGGCCAGCATATTTCCATCTTAAATTGAAGGGCAACCAACTCGAAAGTACTACTATCGCTTATGATTATTTCATAATCGGTTTAGGCGTTCTTTTTGGTATCATCGGCATGTATGATTCCGGTTCCGCTCTGGTGAAAGCGTTCAAGATAGGCTTACCCTTCTAAATCCAATTCTCATATAGTTTTAGATTGTTGAAATATTTCTAGACACAGCATATTCTTTTTTATTGTCGTTCAAAGTTGATATTGTCTAGTCGAATGTGATTTAATGTTTTTATCTTAGCTTAGATTTATAAGAGAATGACAATAACTGTTTTACTTGATATTTGATGTCTTCCAATTTATAGCTGTATGTATATAAACTTAGAATTAACATTATACACTTTAATTATTAATAATCCAATGTCTTCCAAGTCGGTGTTAGATGTAATTTCCACTAGCGATTGTCCGAGTGACTCTTCTGACTTCTAGTCTCGTATTTCCGCTAACGCGGGAGCGACAACCTTACAAAAAGATGGTCAAAGACACGCGGCTAATCGTTAATGGAAATAGACACTTATTGTCCTTTGACAACGAAGTCTTCCAGTTGAAAAAAATGATATATTTAATGGATTTCAATTACATTGCATTTAGATGTATGAAATATTCGCGTTGCATTTAAAAATATATTAAAGTTGTATTGTAATTTATAAGATTTTAGAGAATTATATTTAATTGCGTGTTTTTGATGGTTTTTGGACTCCATATTTTACACCAGCAAATTATAATACGTTTAGTTTGTTTTAGATATTTTATATGATTTAAAATTATACTAAACAAAAATATAAAATATGTATATCTATATTGAAACTCTATTGAAATTGATTTTTGTCTATTTACATAAAAAAATATTTAATAACCTATAAAATATTATACCCACTATGTATTTTTGAAAAATTTGATATTTATTGATGACAATAAGAAACTCTTTTTTGTGTTTAATAAATTATATAGTTTAGTTTTTAATTAAAGCTTTTTATATTAGCAGTAAAATATTATCTTGTTATGTATCAAATTCTTTGTTGTAATTTAAACGAATCTTATTTATATTTTACAAAGTTAATTATACATTGGATTATTTACTTATTATCGTCCTTATGCTACTCCCGTAGTGACGCAACAAGTTTTTGTGTTCCAAATAACTCTATCATACGTCATCTGTCATCACTCCCTTCTTGTGTCACCTTTCACGCGATACATCCATCTCTTTCTACGTCTATCTCTACCGGTGTACCACACTCATAACTAACGTACTCCTTGTTACATGCGATTCATTCCTCCTTATAACATGCTAACCCCTTACTCCTTATTATTTACTATTATTTTAATTATTAACTGTAATGATAACTTTAATAAGATTATAAAAATAATGTCTTCCATGTGTAATAATTAATAATATTGTTGTTGATCATTTCATAATATTAACATAGATTAAATATATTCTAACCTCTGTTAAAATAAAAAAAGGAGTAATAATTCAAAATATATTTTTCCCAATATAATAGGTGTGCAGATTACAAATTAAACAAAACTGATTTATTCACATTTGCCAAATATTTTTTCACTTGTAAAACAAATAAAGATTTAATTCATGTTTTCTTGGAAAAAAAACTACAATATACTACGTTCCTTAAAAATTACGTTATTTTACAGTCGTATTAAATTTTATGTTTGTAATAATAGCCCAAATTTATTTATAAAATTAAAAAATGTTAAATAGCCTATTTCAATAGGTTATGTATTGACATCTACAAGCCATTGTCGGCTAATAAACCTGAATATTTATCATAAACTTTTAATATACTGTGCACCACACTACGAAATTATTAAAAAAAATGTTGTGCTTCCAATATAGAGGTCTTTATAATGTTTTGTTAACACTTTGTGTGCCGACTCGGTCTGCGAAACCAGTACGTTAAATTCTTGGCATTCAAAGTGTTTAGTAGCGCTTGTATTTGAGAGAAGTTAGTGTATAAACGCAATAATAACGAACACAATATTCGTGTATCGTCAGAGTTCTAAGTGTGTAACTGAATATAAAATGTTATTTCAAATATGTCGTTTTATTCATAACCTTGTTGCCCGCGACTGCGTCCACGAAATAAAAATGTAGCCTATAATATGCCCGTCTACGTTAGCTACCCTTCAGTGAAAATCCTGTCCAAATCGGCCCAGCTGTTTCGAAGATTACTCGGAACAAACGCGGCTTGCGGACAGACAGACAAAAAAAATGCAATTTTCATTATTAGCAACGCAAATACATCATCTTTCCGAAATCTGGAATTTTTCTTTTCATAATACAAACAGACACTCCAATTTTATTATATGTATGGATAGATAGATAGATGTAATTTTATTTTAATATGAATAAATTGTTATATTTTAACCAATAAAAGTACGTAACAAATGTATTTAACGACTTCAATTATTTTTAAAATAGCAAGATTCCCAATTAACGATACCATAAAAGTTTAATTTGATAAAGTAATTGGCGCGAAAACGTTTCAGTGCTTTACCTGGTCGCCATGCTGACAAAATGGACGCCTTTACTCGCGCTTGCGTGCTATTTGTATTATGTGTGGCCTGGATTCAGTTAACGGTTTGTATATTTAAAAATTAAAAAAAAACTTTAATTTTATCAAGGATAAAGAATTTGTTGAGTTAGATATTTTAGTCAATATAGTTTAAAAATGCGGGTAGATTTCAAATTTTTGCTTTGCTTTCGAGAATCGTAATTTACCGATGTTTGAGAAATAAAGGAAATCTAATCTACCTTATTAAAGTAGCATAATTATGTAACTCATTATATCGTAAGATTTAATACGCCTTAGTAAAAACTTTAGATACCCTACGATATCCGTCGTCATCCATGCTGTGTCGGAGTCAACGAGAATATCACACTAGCAATGATCATCGACGCGTTCGAGATCTACGGCCACGACCCCACAGACAAGTTGGACAATCTCTGGCTTTACCAGAATGAGATGATGCGTATAAAAACAGCTGAAGATCAGGTAAATGACTCAAAAGTTCCACCACATCATAGTCAATTTTTAACCGAATTCCTAAAAGACGGATGGTCTCAATTCGTATGGACATTTTTTTTGTTAACACGTATTTCTAATAAAAATCTGTTCAATTGCAGTACATAATTAATGAACGAATTCACATCGCGACTGACCATCTTGGAAGATTCATAAGACTGCACATACAAGAATTGAAGGTATATTAAAAATGTATCACCAACGGCCAATGGAGGCGGCAATTTTTGCTGACTATCTTTACACTTTAAAGGTACTCCTGATAACTCTTGACGATGTGATCGACAACATGCTGACGATGTACGAGAACCATAACTCTATCGCTGCTGAGAGGAAGGCTACGTACACCGGTGGACCTGTGCCGATGGAGTTTTATATCAGCCAAGGTCATCGTCACTAATTGCCCTTGTCCCTACGGAGAATCGGTACAATGCTGCTGTCCCATACATCTCTGTCAGTCGAGATATCTGAATACATTCCCTATAGCATATCCTATACACAATACATCCATACTTTCGGTTTTCCTGTACCTTTGTAGGCAATCTATAATTTCACACAGAGAGATCAAACTTTAGGACTTCCTAAGACCTCTCAGAACAACATGGGAGATCCAATTTTCACATAACTTGTAAATAATATAAATGTATCTTCATTTTTAGAATTCTATTGCGGAAAGAACGTCTATTTATTCATATCGGAGCTTTACAGCGACATCTATAACATGGGGCGGGGTCTTGCGCCGTACTGCAAGGATCGCTCTTTCATCTTCCTTGGATTTCTACACTTCCATGATGAGCAGAAGTATTATTTATTAGATGATCCCAGCGTATCATTCCCCACCGATAATTACCTACATGGCTTGGAATGTCACATTGGTATTTGTATATTCAGGTAATTACATTTTGTAGATCTGTTTACAATCTTCTTTAGTAGCACCATTGCGCACCAATTTTTTCGATTTCGATTCCGATTTAATCATCCGGCGTCTGAATTAAATGAACTGGCAGCCATGTTTGCAAATATGAGAGGTTCTTTAGAAGTAATTGGTAATCTTCATTTGTTTTCTAGATTTCCATTCAAGAAACTGGTGCAAAAGGAAAGAGATGTTGTAACGTTGCCCAAGGCGATAGTGAAATGCGGCCTCATCATGTACAAGTTACCACCACTCACGGCTACCGCTTGCATCATCGCGTCTGGTTCCTTCATATTAGATTTCAACATACAGGGTCTTCGGTATCGACATTATGATTATTTATTGGTATGTTGATTTATATGTACTATATTATTGAAGCGTTAGAGCGGACGCACACCGTTGACTAAACAATCGCAAGACTAGTCTCGCTTTGTTTTCTATATGCTTATATAGAGGTGCGCACACTACTCGATTTTTAGTTGTGCAACTAAATAGTTGAATTGGCTACGAAACAATCGACAATAGCTTAACAGCTTATGCAAAACATTCTCTATCTATCGATCATCATTTTATTAGTTTATTGAACACTAGTTTTCGACCGCGACACCGTCCTGGAATTAAAAAAAAACACAAAAGTAAGTAGCCTATGTGTTCTACCGGACTTAGCTCTAGATCTATGCCAAATTTCATCCAGATTCGTTCAGCAGTTTAGGCTACAAAATCTAACAAACATCCATCCATATATCTAAACTTTCGCGTTTATAATGATAGTAAAATTAAATGGTCATAATTTTAGACTACACCAAACGGCCACACATACTACACTAAGGAACATCACACTCCCCTCGTGTGCGACCACCATGTCTGCGAGTGGAACTACACAAACCATTACGGAGGTAACACTTAAGCATATAATATCAATGTTATTGTATTAAAGCAATTTGAGCTCTAATCCTTTTGATTTAGGTCCATTTCTGATACCCGGCGACCCTGGGACAGGGATTGACCCAATACCACCGTACATCGAGCCAACGCCCACGCCAGATATTGTCGACGAGGATGAAAATATAACAGTACCATGCAAGTATAGTTTTAACCTACACTCCGTCCGCGTGAAATTAAAATAAACAAAAAAAAATAGCCTATGTGTTCTCCCATACTATTCTCTACATCTATGCCAAATTTCATAGAGATCGGTCAAACCGTTTAAGCTACAAACTCCAACAAACATCAATCCATGCAACTTCCGTAATTATAATTAAGAATTAACGTAAGAATTTTGCAATAGAATTTGTGAAGCGTGGGTAGATCTTAAACACTATCTTAAGCGCCAATAGCCTAATGGTTTACCGATCTTGCGGTCGAGGGTTAGAATCCCGACATTCGACTATCGTCGTGAACCATATCCTAGCACAAGCCTAGAGCTTAATTGGAATGGTTAAAGGAAATATTAGTAAATTAACAAAAATCTACTAATGTTTTTATTAAAAAAAACTGTCAGTGTTGTTGAGTTGCCTTAGGAGATTGCTAAGTGAAAACTAAGCATTGAACGTGTTAAGTTGGTTGGAGTGAAGTAAAGATTTGAGTGTACTGAATTAGAGAATAGTAATTTCATAATCAAGTATGGATATATCACTGTTCATATTAATACTAGAACATTTCTCAGATAACCTGGATGGCTGTCTTTTTATGTACCCTCCAAACTACGGCTCCATAGCCGGTAAAAGTTATTTGGACGCGGTAGAACTGCACGACGATAGGTTTACTTGTAACGCAGCGGGCAATAAGGTAAAGTATTAAATATGTTTTAACTAGCTTTCACCCGCGACTCCGCCTGCGTAGAATTAAAAAAAGTAGCCTATGTTTTCTTCCAGACTTAGCTCTAGAACTATGCCAAATTTCATCGAGATTCGTTCAGCCGTTTAGGCTACAAACTCTAACAAACATCTATCCATCTATCCATGCTTTCGCATTTATAATATTAGTATGATTAGTATGAATAAACGTAGTGTAGTATTTTATGTTAGCTAAGAAATCGAATTATGAACGCAAGTTGTGACTTGAATTTCTTTGTTCTTTATTAACTTAATACATAAGTTTAAAGTTCTTAATTTTTTTAACTTTATTTAATCTATACTAATACTGACTGTTGCTCGCGACTTCGCCCGTGTGAAATTAAAAAATAATATAGAATGTAGCCTATGTTACTTACGGATAAATTACCTTTGTAATGGTGAAAGAATTTTTAAAATCGGCCTAGTAGTTTTTGCGTGAATCAAATACACCCAAAAATACATATCTTCAAATTGATGTAAGATATATATTTTTGTATGTATTGAAATAACTTAAAAACTACTGGGCCAATTTTAATTCTTACACTAGTAATAAGCAACATTATCAAAAGTAACATAGCATAGGCTATGTTTTTTATTATTTTTTTGGCAGATTTTTCACAACATATTTGTAGTTAGAAAAGTTTCTGTAACGTAACAGTCAATTGTCCTAAAAAAACTTTGCTTTAGTTTACTGCATTGTTTCTTTTCAGGGTCTCTACTGGTATCCGCAATGGATGGGAACTCTTCCTCATCATCCGTACCCATCGCTGCTCGACTCCAAGAGTCCGTTTGAGTCAGCGGGACCGTACTACCCTCATCAGACATATGACAATGAGGACGCAGATATTGATACATAATTATAATTTAATAAATATATTATAATTAGTATGATTTCATTTTCTTATTTATACTAATATTAGATAGTAGCTTTCGCCCGCGACTCCGTCCGCGTGGAGTTTAAAAAACCAAAAGTAAGTAGCTTATGTGTTCTACCAGACTATCCTCTACATCTATACCAAGTTTCATTGAAATCCTTTCAGGTGTTTAGGCTACAAACTCTAACAAATATCCATCCATCCATCCAACCATCCATCCATCTAAACTTCCACATTTATAATATTAGTATGAATTGCGTGAAAGGTGACATGATCAAGAAGGGAGTGACGACTGAGATGACGTATGATGGAATTGGAGGACGAAAACCTAGAAAAAAAACTAGGGATAACTGTCTTTATAAAATTATATTATACTATAAATAACTCTCCAAAAATCTACTTTCAATTACACTTCCTCGAGGCAAAATAAAGAACGCAGGTGTACCCGCTTTTAATTCAAAATATTTAGTCACTAACAAATCACCTAAATCCTTCTTCGGGTCAATCACATGAGGCATTTTATCATAACCTTCAAAATATACATTAACAGTATTAATACTGTATTTATTATTTACATCCCAAGGCGCAGGGAACAATTGTTCCAATTGGCTCAACAAAGAAATATTTTCTGGACAACCTTTAACTACATCTGTCATTTGATATTCTGGATACATTAAGAGAACTGGCCACTTTAATATCCCATTTTCTATATGTACCATAGAGTCTTGTGAATCGGGTAAACATGGTTCTAATTTAGATAGATCTAAATCATCTTCATCATCACAATTGGAAACTCTAATACCACGTTCAACAATCATTTTAATAATCGCATCTCTTTCTTCATCCTTCTTATTAACTCTCCTTTTCTTTTTCCTTTCATCTCTTTCTTGGATTAACTTCTTCTTTTTAGCTAAATTTAGTAATTCAACAACTTCTCTATCATTCTTTAATTTCTCACAATGTTGTATACAGATGTCATATTTAGAGATTTCGAATGCGGATTTAGCTGCCCGTAGTCTCGCTTTTGTGTGTTCAGGATTAAATGTTAAAGCTCGTTCACTATCATATAAGGATGATCTATAATTTTTTAAATGCCAGTGACAAGCAGCACGATTATTGTACAAGCTTGCATTAATTTCAGGATCATTGGATTTAATTTTTATACCTTCTGTGTACCTGTAAAAGATATATAACTTAATTAACAGACATATATTTGTTTTATTTCAAATTCTGCTTGAAATATCAAAATCAACTTAAAATGCTACATGCTAGATGCTAGTTAAAGTATGTTTCCTATACTGCTGAATGGATCATAATGAGATTTGGCATAAACACAGTAGAACACAGTTTGGAAGAATAAATGGGCTGTATACTTTTTTTTTGTTCAATGTTGTCAAAGTTGGGAGACAACTTATTACAATAATTAATTAAATTATCGGTACTGGAAAAAATCTGATTATTGAAATAAAAACTCACCCTAATATTGCTAATCTGTAATTCTTGTGTTTAAAATTAAAATTGCCATCTTCTTTATAATTATTTGCTAATTCTAATGGTGTATTTTCCTCTGGATCATACTTCAGTTTAGCCAAACCTTCAGCCAATGGTGACATTTCATCACTAGGATTGGTCTTCATAAAGAATGGATGCTTATCCATTTCTTCCTATAGAAAAATTAACAAAAATAATCACACAACAGTATTGCAATCTGCTACAAATGTCAAACTGTACCAGTAGTACATATTTTATAGATTTTTTTTTTAATATTATAAGGTGGCAAATGAACAAAATAGTAAAGTGATTGTTGTGCTTAGACATGGAAATTGCATACTAAGAGGACATTTTCCCTAAGCGTGCCCTCCTACGTAATATCTACTTATCATGTCCTTGTATAAAAAAGAAAATTCAGATCTTACGGTAACCAAACAAAGAAATTAGAAAATCTACTAGAAACACCAAAGGCGTTGTTATAATTGTTGAATGTGAAGTTAACGTGAATTTAATATCTTTTAAAAGCGTAATTATATTCATGAAAATATTTAATACCTCCCATCTGTCTTCCGGCCATCCTTCTGTGTACCTTTTCCTTTCCAAACTGTTAATAAAATCATCAAGCTCTGAATCTAATTTCTGACACAATTCCAACCGCTCCGTATCAGACATCGATTTTTTCGTATCCACTTCAGAATTCATGGCCATTTTCACTCAAATTGCTTTAAAATCTAAGAAAACTGAATATAACAAAATCAAAACAAGCATGTGGTTCTGTTTCTTATCATCTTGTCAAAATGACAGTTGTCAAAATCAATCTACAACAAGCCCATAGTTACAGTTTATATTTTTTATAGCTGATACAAGTGACCTTGACTGTTGACAGTATTTCTATTTCACAATAGGTAAATAAAAAATATCAACATATCGGTAAATAAAACAATGAATCCGCTGTTTCTTAATCTGTCTTAATAAAAGACTATTATACAACCATCCATAAAATTCCCTTTATTCAAAAGAAGAATTAAAAAATTAACATGAAAACATACGTTTAAACACATTCTACATTTTTTACGAGATGACACATATTTTATCTCAATATATGATACCAGCTTGCCATTTCTTGATGTATTCAATTTTGCGGCATTCTCGAGTCTCAAAGTAATCTGGATACTGCGCCTTTTCTAATGGATGCCAATAATCCATAACCCAATCTGGAGGTTCAACAACTCGTTCAAAAGCTATACCTCCTGCACGACCCATTGATTTTGAAACTGCAACATAGAAAAATATTTAGGATTTTTCCTTTCCTAGGTAAAGAGGGACGTTATATATTATATATTTAGAATATTACTAGGACCAAATTTACAAAATAATAAAACCGAGCATACATCGCCCAAGGAATACAGGGTTTTTTTTCATGAAGGCTTCATGCTCTCCTACCCATAAAAGTCGACGCTGCTCCTTAGGATCACAGACGGATTTGTTATCATCAAATCGTTTTCGCAGAAGAATTTGATGATATCGTATGACATATCTGCAAAATAATGAAATATTATCGTACATATCTACGATGAAAACTGTTGTATATTGTATTTTATACATCAAAAAATTAATTTTCTCACCTTGGATAATAATGCGATTCTATCAATCTCATTGCCGTTTTATATAATGCACAAACTTTTTGAGAATAGCTAATTAACTCTGGTGCAAAATTCATTGTTAAAGTAGATGAAAAGAAATTTTATTTTCGCACTATTAAACGTCAAGTAACTGAAGAAGTAACATGTAAATCAAATATCTCAATGATTCGAAATCCAAACAACCCCTAAAAATAGATTTAAAAAAGGTCGAATAAAAAGATTTGTCATTTCATAGCATTGTTGAGATTTTCTTTTATCTGGTAACTATAACTTGCCAAATACGATTGATTAGTTTGACAATTCAGGACGTTAGTGAAATCGGGTGTAAATATTATCAATTTTCGATTTTTGTAAAAGTTGATATCGATAGATCATATAGTTGTACTTTAAGGATTAAATAAATACTTTTTTTAATTCTTGTATGATACGAAGTTAAATCAATCATCAAACACGAAGAATGAGATGTATAAGACAAGTCTTACTAATATTGCCATGCAAAAACATACTGAAATTCATTTTTACTTTTATTACCATCGCCATCACTATAGTCACTTAGACTGTTCCTCAAGTTAATTATGAGTTTTAAATAGAAAATTTCGATAGTTCATAATTCTTCGCTACGTGCGTACGTCCATCAGTGATAATTATATCTGTCTATTAAGTACGAGATTTACTTCATGCAAATGAATTTAAGTGCTTTATATGCGTCACTTGTAACACTAAGATCTTTAAATATCTGCATATTCTGTGAACTGTAGTGTATTTTGTCAATGTCAATGTCAAATGATTGTCATTGTTTATGATTGTAGGTTAGCATTTCAAAGTTATTAAGCTGATATTACAAAATAATAAGAGTAAACAGTATAAAATTTAATAAGTTTTCTGTATAATATTTGTCGCTTTAAGTATTTGTTTTAACGACTTAACATACATAACTTATGCTTAAAGTTTTACTACCCGGAGAGTAATTTTAATCATGTCTGATGCTTGGGAGGAAATTCAAGCTGTGAAGAGTAAGAGAAACAGTCTCAGAGAGAAACTTGAGAAGCGTAAAAAGGAACGGCAAAATATTTTAGGCGCTACACTCGCTAACGATAAAGGGGAAAGTTCAGCAAGTAGCAAAGAAAAATCTGTTCCCAGTCCTACATCTCAGAAAACTGAAGGTAAAAAATATTTCTGTTTTAAATAAAGAATGTAACACGTGGAGGTAAATAACCTGACCAGGTATACTAGAAGCAATTTCACCAGGTAATACTATGCCCAAAACCATAATCAAAAAGTAAATAAGTAATATCTATTTGGAGAAATATTTACATTTAGTTTAAGTATAGTTATTAATTTAACCACATAACAACAAGCTTGTTTATTCTAGCTACAGCTCCAATGTAATACACATTACAGTGTAGTTTATTCATATTGCTAGGGGTTATAAAAGAAATTTCTTTTTCTGCTCTACACAAAGACAGAAATATATAGACTAGGCATTGTAAACTTAAATTTTCCCTGGTACTTTCTCTAAAAGGTTGTTTGTCAGTTGTCAAGTTCAGTATGCCACCTCATGTCAACTATGCCTACCCTACATTTTTTTGAATCTCTAGCTTAACACAATTTCAACGATTACTAATTCTGTTATAGCATCAGAGAAGCCAAAACTACCGGTTCCAGTAGCATCTTTAGAAGTGCGTCTATTACAAGTGTTGTCCGACATGCAGTTGCAACTGCCCGCTACAGCGAGTGCATTGATACCAGGCCTGGGCGATGTTGATACAGGAATTGTTGCCAGTTTACTACAGAAATTTGCAACACAGAAGTTAATCACGTAAGTGATCATCTTGTTTTTTAAAGTAATCAAACTTTTTTTTATAACATAAGCTGGCAAACGAGCAAGCGGCCACCTGAAACCGCCAAAATGGCGAAGCGAACGCTGCCCATAGACATCTGCAATTGCAGATGCGTCGCCTACCCTTATCTGACGGGAGACGCACATAAAGTGGATATTTCCTCTTTCTACGCATCTCCTCCATCGTCAAATCCACTTCCCCTTCCCATCCTCTCATAAGAAAAGGGTGGTAAAGAGAAAGGGACTTAAATTAGGCCTCCGGCACCACACTCATCAGACGAAACACGGAATTGGATTTATTTTACGCCTGTCTTCTGTGTGGTTGTGGTATTACACCGAGCGTGCCGGCCCATTCGTGCTAAGATCTTAAAGCGACACTACCACTGTTAAACTCTTTTTAATTTTGTTAAAATACTAGCTTATGCTCGCGACGCCGTCCGCGTGGGATTAAAAAAACAAAAGTTAGTAGCCTATGTGTTCTTACCGACTATTCTCTAAATCTATACCAAATTTCATCGAAATCTGTTCAGTCATTTAGGCTACAAACTCTAACAAACATCCATCCATTGATCTAAAGTTTAGCATGATTAGTAGATTTATGTAGGTAAAATAATAGTAGGTTTAGTAGATCTAGGCTTGTGCTAGGATATGGTTTATACAATAGTCCAATGGCGGGATTCGAACCCTTGACTGCAAGATAGATAGTCCATACCCCAAACCATTAGGCTATTAGCTCTTTTTATTACTAGCTTTCATCATTGAGTCCGCCTGCAAATTAAAAAACAGTAAAAGCCTGTGTTTTCCAGACTATGCTCTACATCTATGCCAAATTTCATTGAGATCTGTTAAGCCTTTTTGTCTCTAAACTCTTGACAGATATTCATTCATACTTGTAAACTTTTGTATTTATAATATTAGTAATATCACATAGTTCTACTATTTTAAATAAATAAATAAATAAATAGGACTTTTATTTCCACAAAAACAAGCTACAAATGAAATCTTACATACATCAATCTTAAAACTAGTAAAAAAAAAAAGAAAATGTGGCAATAGGCGGCAAGCTCAGCTAATGCAGAGACGGCGCAGGCCGTTTCTGCGCTGGTTTTCAGCTGGCCCCTTTACACACCGATATTTACACAAAAGGTGGGTGACTTAACCTTGTTAGATATTTAAAAAAGTGATAAAAAATAACAAAAAATTTACATATAGTGATTATACATTAAGGTTACAATTTAAAGCTTTAAAAAAAACTAGGTTATTTTCTATCTATTACAGTATCAAAGAACGTTTAGAAGGTGCAATGGATGCTGAAATTGAGGTTGTTAGTGCGGAATCTGTGAGACTGGGCGCAGTACTAACCGCTTTGATAGAAGAACAATCTGCTCCTGCTAAAAGAAAAGGTATCTTTATAAGTTACAATTAATTGTTTTTGCATAAGAAATTAGTACAATTATTCATGAATATTTATCACTAGCTGTTCCCGTGCGGCATCTGCATAAAATTATGAAAATTTCATTTTATTGTTTACATGTCAAATGTCAAATTGACATGACATGACAAACCTTGACAATCTTGCTTCTTTGATGTTGACAGCAATTTTTGCTTTGTTTCCCACATTAGGATTTTATCCAAAATATTTACCCCCATAGTTTAATGGCGTGAAAATATATAGCATATAGCGTGACGTAAGTGTAGGGCTTTTTATTAAAAAAAGGATTATTCAAATATAAGCTGTTATTGCTGATATCTTAGGCAACAAAGAAGTGTGTGTTTACGCTTTATTATAATAGTATAGATTATAATTTGGATTATATATTTATTAGATTGTAATTTATATCACTATGTAGCATAAAAACACAGCACATGTGCTGAATGGTTTTTTAAATAAATACCCTTTTGCATTTATAATATTAGTAAGACTAACAATATAAATTGTTTTCAGGTGACAGCACAATAGATGAAAGTACAAATGTTAAAGTTGCAAAAAGTGTCACAGATGACAAAAAGACGGCTAAAGGTGACACTGATATTATGGTAAGTTGAATATAGTCTAAAAATGGAAGCTTGCAGAATGTCTCCAGAGTAGGGTTGTAACGGAACTCCGCTTCCGCATCCGCAAGTACGGAACTTCCGCAAGAAATGATAATTCCGCATCCGCTTCCATTATTTCTTATGCGGAGTTATAACGGAGGTTAATTTACGTATTTAACGCGAGTGCCCGGGCGGGCGGATATGTCAACTAACTATAATTGTTATACATTATATTTGCATAATAAAGTGTATCTTGTAATTTTGTACCAATCTGTATTTTGGTTTATCGTAGTTTTAGTTTTTATTTTTAAATAAATCGCTATTAATATTATATTATTGACTTTCGCTTCCGTTAACCTCCGCTTCTGCAAAGGTGAAGCCTTTCGAATCCGCATCCGCTTCCGTTAAAATGGTTACCATTACAAACCTATTTTAGACAATCTAGACCGGTGTTTGGAACCTATGCCCTGCAGGAGGGCAATTTGTTAGTGAGGTAGGGCGATACAATGACTAACCCTTTCGTTTCGCGCTATTTGAATGCAATGTTGATGCCAAATTATTATCTATACTAATATAAAGGGGAAAGATTTGTATTTTTGTGTGTATTGAAGTAACCTAATAACTACTGGGCGAATTTCATAAATTCTTTGACCATTGAAAAGCTATGTTATCAATATGTAATATAGGGTACTTTTTTAATTCCATGGGGTAAATTTTCTAGCAACTAGTTACATGTAATTTCATTTGACGTTACTGTGGATGGTTTTAAGGTAAAAATTGTTTGGCGAAAATTTCAGAAATGTTAAAGTGCATAAACTATGTTGGGAAATACTGTTCTAAACTAAGTCTGAACTTATTTATTTTATTTATTTATTTACTAACTAGCTTTCGCCCGCGACTCCGTCTGCGTGATATTAAAAAAACAAAGTCTAGTAACCTATTTGTTCTTCCAGACTATCCTCGACATCTATGCCAAATTTCATTGAGATCCGTTCAGCAGTTTAGGCTACAAACTCTAACAAACATCCATTCACCTAAACATTCACATTTATAATATTAGTATGATTAGTACAATAGTTACAATTTATTTTATCATTACAGTCGCTGTTAGCAATGCCTTCGAGTAGAGAAAAAGCAGTCAAAAGAGTGGGTGAGGAAATAATGGACCTTCTCAGTAAACCAACAGCAAAGGAGAAATCATTGGCCGATAAATTCAAAAGTCAAGGAGGTATGTTGGAATATCTTTTTTGTATTGAAATATCATTTTGATCCTATTTATTCAAAGTTTGTAGTTCTCAAACCTTTATCTATACTATTATAATAAAGTGTAAACACACACTTCTTTATTGCCTAAGATGTCAGCAATTACAGCACATTTTTAAATAATTCTTTTTTTAATAAAAAGCCCTACACTTGCTACACGCTATAGGCTATATATTTTCACGCCATTAAACTTAGGGGGTAAATATTTCGGATAAAAATCCTAATGTGGGAAAGAGACCATAAGTTGCTGCCAACATCAAGAAAGAGAGATTGCTAAGGTTTGTCATGTCATGTCATTTTGACATTTGCTATTGGTAATCTGACAAATGTAAACAATAAAACAAAATTTTTATAATTTCATGTGGTTGAAGCCGCAGGGGAACAGCTAATTGTTTATATTCTGTAAAACTTTCATTTGCAAATTGTATTTATAACTTAAATTACAATGAAATCTTTTGCCATTGGATAACAATTACCATTACCATGGCAACTTTGCTTTCTTGATAGCAGCTTGTAGTTTTTGTCACTTCCTGCATGAGGATTTTTACCAATTTATTCACCAACTAAATTAAATAGTGTGATAATATATAGTCTATCGCATGTCAAAAAGAAGCCTTTTTGATACTAAGAATTTTTCAAAAATGTACTTTGTTTGCTGACATCTATATGACAAAGAATATTTTTCAATTATTCTTTTTATAATTTGAATTTTGAATAAGTGTTTCTTTTAATGAAAAGCTCTACACTTACGACACGATATAGGCTAAATTTTTGCGACGAGGGGACGGTTGGAACTTATATCATTTCATAACGTTTCCATCTGTCACCTTATTGGTGATATTGTGACTAAAAGGTGGGACGGATGAAACTTCATTCTCACGTGGAGACAGAGCGGGGCGATGGTTGGGAATAATCCCACCATTCGTCTATTGTCGTGAACCATCCTAGTACCAGCCTAGAGCTTAGTTCGAATGGTTAAAGGGAATATTAGTAAATTAACATAAATTTGCTATTATTTTTAATTTTAAGAAAAAAATAAAAAAGATACTTGTTATATGTCCAAGGTGCTCAAGTGATGGAGTTCTGTCCGCACGGTACGCGCGCTGAGTGCGTGCGCAACGCTAAGTGCGAGCACGAGCACTATGAGTGCAAAAAGT